TTACCTACGGGACCGCCTCTCCTGGTATGCCCCACAGAGAAACTTACGGTCTTCAAATAAAAACATCTTGAAGGTCCCAGGCCACAGAGAAGTTAGGCTGGCCTCAACTAGAGACAGGGCTTTTTTGGCTGTGGCTCCGATCTGGTGGAACACTCTGTCACAAGAGACCAGGGCCCTGCGAGACTTGACATCTTTCCGCAGGGCCTGCAAGACAGAGCTGTTCCACCAGGCCTTTGGCCAGGGCACAGCCTGACTCCCTCCCTCGGCAATCTTCACGGAGCTCTGGCCCAATGGTTGCCAGTGGCTGGAATTAATTAATTTTATAATGAATGATTTTAGAATGTTGTTTATGCTGTACTTTTTGTACTGTTTTATTGTTGTTAGCCGCCCTGAGCCCGGCTTCGGCTGGGGAGGGCGGGATATAAATTATTATTATTATTATTATTATTATTATTATTATTATTATTATTATAAATTTATTTATTTTGGAAGATTGCTAGTCTGTACTGCTGACTAGAACTTGCATACAGGTATGTAAGAAACTCCAAATGTTACAGCTGGAGGAATGTGTGATTTTACAGTTGCAAATTGTATGGGGTGTTGTATGGGATGTTGGGGGCGGGGTAGTATCTCTGCTGGGGGACAAGTCATGCTCCTTTTGTGGTAGTTTGGCCACCTTTGGTCCCCACCCTGCAGTCAGCTCTCACCTGTGGCAGCTAGAAGCAGCCAGCATGTGAAAACAGCCACACCCTGGGAAATGGCTTCAACTTGCTGGCTAAACCAGGTGAGGGTAGCCAATGGGTCTCAAACCCTCAGTGAATTGGACTTCCTTTGCCCTGAAAAAACAGGCTCTAGCAGATTGAGTGCACAAAACCAACAGTAGGTCCAATGGTCAAAAGTGTGGTTTCTGCACAGGCTGCTCAGGGAAATGGCCGAGGGGTTGTAGAACAGAAAGTGCGGTCTACTAGGGAGTTTGGAGAAATAACGGCTGGCAAGTTCTGCCTAGGAGGTTAACGGCAAAGGGGAGGTATATGAGGTCATTTTCTGAGTGTTGGGTCAAAGAGACAGAGGCACATGTTAGGACAGGCGGCCCCTGGATCTTAGAAAGAAACTGTATGGCTGAAACCCTGATATTACACGGAGCATTTAGATATGTTACCGAAGTATGAACTCAATACCATAAGAGGCTTATCAGTTCTTTCTGATAGAGAAGAAACAGGCCAGGATTCTGAAGGCAGTTGACACCCTCAGGGTAGGTTGTAGGCTGTGCAGGAGCAGAGAACAGGTGGGGCCATGGCTGGTGTGTGTCCCAGGGGTGTGGTATGCCACCCGTGTGGCGCCTGGTGTGGGGGTGCACGGTGCACGTCAGGATGGCGTCTGGTGCATGTCAGGGGCGGTGGCCATGATGGCACCCCACCTGGGATGGTATCCAGAGCAAACCACTCCCCTGCTCCCACCTTCCTCCCCCAGTGGTTGCAGGTAACAGAAAATCAGGGATGATGGGACCTGGAATCTGATATCTGAAGGGTCAAAAGTTAGACACCCTTGTACTAGAGGTTGAACATTGCATTTAAAGGATCTCCTTGCAGGAACTGAATCCACATCTGCCTTGTTTCTTATAGCAAGATTGTCTCTATACCAGGGGAACGAAACCTTTTCTGGCTGGCAGGCTAGATGCTTCTCTACCACCAATGGCAGGTCACATTTGGCGGGTGGGCGGGGCCTTTTGCAAACATCCCTGTCCTGCACTTTGAATCTCAAATTTTCAGAGGTACAAGGAGCAGTTCTTGGAATGGGAAGCAGGTTCCATTCAACTGAAACAGCTTCTCTCTTCTAGAGCAAGTTGTGCTCCTTCTAACAATCAGCTGATAGGTGATAAGAGTGCACCTCTAGATTCATCAATTCCCTACTCATTACTCTTCTCTTTCATGCACTTGCAGTGCCAATCAACTATTTTGTTGTTGTTTAGTCATTTAGTCGTGTCCGACTCTTCGTGACCCCATGGACCAGAGCACGCCAGGCACTTCTGTCTTCCACTGCCTCCCGCAGTTTGGTCAAACTCATGCTGGTAGCTTCGAGAACACTATCCAACCATCTCGTCCTCTGTCGTCCCCTTCTCCTTGTGCCCTCCATCTTTCTCAACATCAGGGTCTTTTCCAGGGAGTCTTCTCTTCTCATGAGGTGGCCAAAGTCTTGGAGCCTCAGCTTCACGATCTTTCCTTCCAGGGAGCACTCAGGGCTAATTTCCTTAAGAATGGATGTGTTTGATCTTCTTGTAGTCCATGGGACTCTCAAGAGTCTCCTCCAGCACCATAATTCAAAAGCATCAATTGTTTGGCGATCAGCCTTCTTTATGGTCCAATTCTCACTTCCATACATCACCACTGGGAAAACCATGGCTTTAACTATACGAACCTTTGTTGGCAATCAACTATTTCTAAATATGCAAAACATTTCCTGAAATTCCATCCTCACCATATTCTGTTTTCTCTTGAAATGCCTCAGATTCCTTTTCCTTAACCTTCCTTCTGTTACACCTGAACTAGGCTGGATACAAACTTTCGCAAAGACAACAACAACAATTTGAGTTGTATTTGTAGAAAGCGTCCCAAAATCACTGAAAAGTAGAGTGAGGATTTAAACTGCTGCAATCAATCATTCAATCAATCAATCAATCAATCAATCAATCTATTTATTTATTCATTCATTCATTCATTCATTCATTCATTCATTCATACCAAAACACATTGTCTTTCCACACATTGCTAGTTAGCATATTTGCTAAAGAAATATTCAGGGAAATGTTCTTCTCAGACTATGAGGAACAACCTAGAAGTCCTCAGAGCTCCCACTTCAAGCTTCGCATAAGTGTTTTATCATGCCTTGGAAGCACGCACAATTTTCTCAGATCCAAAGTGCAAATTTCTCTCGAGACCTACATTTCAGGAGACAATTTGCCCCACACTTAGAAGGTTGCCAAATCATCCACGAAGAGTGAAAGAACTCTGCCCATTGCTAATGGAGCATCCACTAATGCTCTGGTTGGTAATTGCACTATGATGTGTGTTCTCTGCTCCACCCTGGCTGAACCAGATGCCGTGCTGACTTTCTTCAGAGACGTGCTCTATGCTGATTGAGGGGAAAGCATTTTGAAGCCAGAGGACATCTTGGAGACTGGGACTATGAAATTGTGGAGTGCATTTCAGACCTGTTTTCTCCTTGTTTTGAAAAGTTTGTATAAGTAGAAGGTAGGAAATTAAATATTTTATTGGGATGTCTTCTCTGCTGTGGTGCCATGTCTCTCTCCCTCCTCCTCCTCCTCTTCCTCCTCCTCCTCCTCCTCCTCCTCCCCTCCTCCTCCCCTCCTCCTCCTCCTCCTCCTCCTTCTTCTTCCACTGCTCCTTCAGTATAGGCTAACCAATGTGCTGCCCTCCAGATGTTATGGACCTCAATTCACATCAGCTCCAGCCAGCATCACCAATTGTCAGGGATTATGGGAGTTGTCGTCAAGCAGCAACTTGAGGGTATATTGTTGACTACTCCTGGCATAAATCCTGAGGGGCCTTTAGCTTGAAATCATCTTAACCGTAATGAAGCTCAGCTATTTCCAAAGTTATATGTTCGATGTTACTGCTTACTGTTTTGTTGTTTGTTACTCTAGTCTCTTCTCTTCCATTCCTTTTCTTCTGCTACCCACTTTTAACAGTTACACTGTGTGTTCCTTGGAACAGGAAATGGTCTATTTTTCTTGTGCTACTCTATAAAGCTCCATAGGCAGATAACCTGTGGCACTTCAGTTGGAGAACGCCCATCATCACTGACTGCTGACCAACAACATCTGTAGGGCCACCAGTTCCCCACCCATGATGTACTGTGATGCCCATCACAATGCTAGCACTATCCAGAGGCATTGGGAGGGGATATATAGCAATGGTCACCTGCACAGGCAGACAGACTCTGGGGTTTAAAATTATAGACAGTTTGGAAAGGGAAATAAAGAGCTGGTTGCAACTCCTGTGCCACTCCTGATGGCACAGACAAATAGCCATCAGGAGTGGGAAGTAGCATTTTTCAGGAGTAAAGGTAAAGGTACTCCTGACCGTTAGGTCCAGTTGCGGACGACTCTGGGGATGCGCGCTCATCTCGCTCTATAGGCTGAGGGAGCCGGTGTTTGTCCGCAAACAGCTTCCAGGTCATGTGGCCATTGTGATTAAGCCACTTCTGGTGAACCAGAGCAGCACACAGAAACGCTGTTTACCTTCCTGCCAGAGCAGTACCTATTTATCTACTTGCACTCGACGTGCTTTTGAACTGCTAGGTGGGCAGGAGCTGGGACTGAAAAATGGGAGCTCACCCCCGCCGCGGGGATTTGAACCGCCGACCTTCTGATCGGCAAGCCCTAAAAGAGAAATGAAAAATCTGCACACTCCACCTCTAAAGTAAGCACTGAACTGATGACCCCCAAAGGCACCCAGTGCTGCTCAGCGATTCTAAGGAACAAACAAAAATACTGAGATTGCAAGTGGTGAGCAGAATGTTCAATGTTCCTCAGTTTGACTATGCACATGTGTTCTCTTGCGAACAGGCACACACAGCCAAAGTGCAGTATAGGGCCTTTTGAAAGCCCTCTTTCAAGCAGCACAGCACTGCTGGGTATAGGGAAATGCTTTTCTAGCTTGTCCTTCATAGGGTATGTTTGGGCAAGGCAACATTGAACAACTCCTGCTCTCTGCAGCATGGTTGGAGGGGGAAGGAAATGCAGTGAGCATATAGGGTTAAAAACACACACAATCAAACATTTCATCTTAAGTAAAATGTATTAATAATGCATTTTTCAGATGGTCTCAGCGCATGAGGTCACTTATACCAGTCTGGACATTTTAGCCACATCATTGCTTATTAAGCACCATGCCAGGAAATTAATAATTCTCTCTCTTCTTTTACCTTAGAACCAGTACTTGTCTCAGAAGTGGGGAAAGCAATTGAAGCAGATATTGAACATGGTAACCAATATCAGCCATGTGCTTATGTTCCCAATGGATGTAGAACTGGGTTATTACGGAATATATACCACTGCAATTCCAGCCAAGAACCCCTCTGATAATAGGACAGAGGGGATCTTCTACGACAATTTAGGAAGGATTGTTTTTTCTGTCTTCATCTTTTTAATCTGCATTTTTGGACTTCTGGGCAATGGAACTGTCTTTTGGTTTCTTAGCTTCCGCATTGCAAAGAATCCTTTCAGCACCTACATCCTGAACGTGGCTGCAGCTGACTTTGGGGTCCTGGTATGCCTTATCACATTTCTTGCTGTAGGGTTTTTTAATGAAGGCACCTTCATTCTTTCAGTTATTTTCCCAATAGCTCTAGAGCTCTTCCTGTTGATGTACAGTGTCAGTCAGCTTCTAATGATGGCCGTCAGCATTGACGGGTGTGTGTCAGTCTATTACCCAACTTGCCATCATTGTCACCGCCCTCTACAGTGGTCCACTGGTGTGTGTGGTGTAATATGGATCTTCTCCTTCCTGATTTGTGCAATTGTCCTTACTCTCCATACTGAATTTTATCCCCAAATGTACTACCAGTTTATTGTGAGTGTCTTGGTTTGCACCCCGGTTACGATTATCTCTGCTCTCAGCCTCTTCAACAAAGTCTACCTGAAATCACAGCAGCAAGAGCCACGGAAACTTTTGACAGCCATCTTATTTATCCTCCTTTTCTCTCTCTTCTTTGATTTGCCACTGAATGCCTTATACATCACGTATTTCCCTGTTCCACATGCCCATCACATGGAGTTGCGTTTATTTTCTGCCTCCATCTACAGCAGCGTTAAGCCACTGATTTATTTCCAGGTTGGGAAACAGAAGGTAGATCTATGTAGGGAGAGCATAAAGGTCATTCTCCAAAATGTTTTTAAGGAAGAAGAGGTCTGTAGAGAGGAATTGGAACTTTCAGTTCAAGAACAGTTGTGATGCTTCCATAAGTATGGAAAGCTCCTGGCAGGCTAACAGATAATGAGTGACGTCTTCTCCCTGAGTTTGACCACAAATACAAAGTTGGTCTGCATATGGGACTCTGTTATAATTGCCATCCAAGACTACAGTGGGCATCACTTAGAAACAATAATAAAGGCATTTCTTAAGAAAGTTAGTGAGAGTTCTCAGTTCTGTTTGATACAGTGAGCGTATAGATATTGACCAAAAATCCAGATCCACCTCACAAAGTTAAGCAAAAGTTTAGTAAAAAGAACTGAAAAAAATGTAAGTATTCAAAAGTATGATACAAAATAGTAAATGGCATGAAAAGGATTGCAGTATAATAGATGAGCATTTACAACTGAGCTACTAGGAAGGCTGAAGAAAGAAACATAAGACCATTTGCATCTATTGCTTCAATAAATCAACAAAAAAATCATAGAGGAAACCTGACATAGAAGAAAGCAACTGTCTTTCTAATACCTTCTCTGCAGTTCGTACATGTATCTTCTGATCAAAAGCATGAAGACTGTTTTACTACATTGTAAAGTCATCTATGCAGTATGTTAAACAACAGAGGAAAAGTTACATAAGATTTTAAAGAGAATGCATGATATGTTTAATGTTTATTTTCTCCTAATATTGAGATGGATTTGAGGAATAATGAGGACAGTTGATTGCAAATTTAAAATATTAACTATATAAAGCTGCAGAAGAAAAATCTCAAAGAAAATAGTAGGTCCCTGCCAAAATAACCAATCATGGGGAAAAACAAAACCAAAATCTTCTTTCCTCCCATTGCTTCCATGAAATGTTCAAAAACTTCCTTATCTACCAAATTTCTTGTTAGGTCTGCTGTTCCAGCTTGGAGAGTTATGTGTATGATTGATGTTCTATGACGGGTATTAAGAAAATTTAAAAATAAAGGAAAAGAACTGAATGAAAAGTCTACCCCCTGTGAAGTATGTCCTGGGAGAATACTAGCTGTTGCTAGACTATGAATGGATGTGTATACAGTACAGTACAGTTGTTCATATTATTTGCATTGTCCACATGATGTTGTCCCCACCCAAGTGGCAGACTACCCTTGCTTCAATTTAATTCTGATTTTTCCAGTGCATGCTTCCCAGCTGTGGATGCTCTGAAGCCCATAGTGTGGGTAGGTGTTGTTGTTTTTAATAATGTTTATTAAAGATTTCTTAGTTTACAAAAATGTGTGCATTGTCTCTTTTTTTCAACTGGTGTTTTCTACAGATCAGTTACATTTGTTTCGAGACATTAGTGTTGCATACAGTATTAGGTTGGGAAGAAAAGAGGGGTGGGGTGGCAATGCTTCTATTTTTCTTTGTGGCTTAGGGCCCTCGTACTTACGGGACCGCCTCTCCTGGTATGCCCCACAGAGCACCTTACGGTCCATGAATAATCATAGTTTAGAGGTCCCGGGCCCTAAGGAAGTCAGATTATCCTCCACCAGAGTCAGTGCCTTCTCAGTGATGGCTCTGACCTGGTGGAATGCTCTATCCCATGAGACCAGGGCCCTGCATGATTTAACTTCCTTCCACAGGGCCTGTAAGACAAAGCTATTCTGCCTGGCTTTCAATTTGAACTTAGCCTGATCTTTTATTCCCCTTCCTTCCCTCCCTCTCCCCTTTTTATGAAGATTACCCACTCTGGGATCCCACAGCTAATTCTCCTCTGGTCTCCTCGCTGGCCCAAATAGGACTAATTTAGCCAGCTAGCTCTGGTGATCATCTAATGTTTATTGGATGGATTTGCCCCCTAAATTTATTTTTGAATTCTGAATTTGTTATTCACGTTCTATACTGTATTTTATGCTGTTTTTTGTTGCATCAATTAAGTGTTTTAAATTTGTTAGCTGCCCTGAGCCCAGTTTTCTGATCCGGGAAGGATGGCGTATAATTAAAAATTTATTATTATGTATTATTACTTAGTGTATGTATGTGTGGAGTTTTGTGTCAGCATCACTTGTGTGGGTTCTCTTTCTCTTTATATTTCCTTGGTGGTGAGCAGGGGCAGAGGAAGGGGGACAGTGGGGGTGGATTACCCCAGGTGTCACTACTGAGGGGAGTGACAAAATGGCGGGCATTACTCACCGCGAGGCCTGCAGCACACCTGAGCCATGTGTCTCTCCTGGAAGTGACACAGTGGCTTCGGCGCCCGCAGGCTCCATGCTGCCCCAAATGGTTCACCCATCACCTACCCGTCAGCTGTAGGGTGGCCTAGTGAGGAGTTTGGATTTGGATTTGATATCTCGCTTTATCACTACCCGAAGGAGTCTCAAAGTGGCTAACATTCTTCTTTCCCTTTCTCCCCACAACAAACACTCTGTGAGGTGAGTGGGGCTGACAGATTTCACAGAAGTGTGACTAGCCCAAGGTCACCCAGCAGCTGCATGTGGAGGAGTGGAAACGCGAACCCGGTTCCCCAGATTACGAGGCAACCGCTCTTAACCACTACACCACACTGGCTCTCAGAGTGAGAAGAGGCAGTGTTCTCAGAGTGAAAAGAGTGAGAAGAGGCAGGCAGACACCTCGGAGGCCAAGCGGAGTATCCTGCCACTGGGCACAGGGCACGCATGCCGCCTCAGGCACCCTACCAGCTTGCTGCACCACTGGTGGTGAGAGAGGTTGGGGTGGCCTAGGGTGTGGTTGATTGTCTTTGAATGGCTGTAGTGAGATTTTTTCCCCCAGTGTGTTTGGTCATGATTTCCACCACTTTCTGCTTCCATAAGTGAGGCACTCTTCTGGTTGGGCACAACGCACTTTTTTTAAAAAAATAAACATTCTGCTTTCTTCAAATCTGCTATATTGAAAAATGTGTATCACAAAAAAGGAAATGAAGAGCTAATTATCAACCCGTCTAGAAGCTCAGAGAACTTAATATAGCCCCATGGAAAATCCCCATGTTAAAGCCTTCAGCAACACACACAGGCATTCTCTTCAGTGTGAATTAAACAATTATATTTAACCCTCGGCTAAACAGGACACTTGGGCTGTCCTCTTTTTCTCATTTAAATATGGATTATTGAAGCATCTGTGGTGAAAAACAGCACAACACTTCTTAAAGCTGCAGAGCCACTGCTCTGTCTCCCTCCTCCTCCTCTTTCTCCTCTGTACGCATGGAAGCAATGAGTGTGTTGAAGATGCATGGCAATAGACAGGTGGGCATGGAGTGGATGGTGGGCATGCAGTGGAGGAGTACTAGTTGGTTGAAGAGTGCAGGAGGCAGAAAGTGGCATGCTCCGTGGAAGCCAGATCTGCTGCCTCTCATGGCTGACCAAGGCCTACCTCCCTGTGAGGCTACTGCCGTACCTCACCTCACCTCATCTCATGGGTGGGTTGGACCTGTTCAAGAGGATTGAGTTGTCAGCCCTGCACCCTCCTAGCTATGGAGCAACCCTGTAGACCGTAAAGCAAAAGCTGGTTGTTCTAATATATTTGAGTAATGAGCATAAAACTATCAGCTTTACTGGAACTATGATGTCTAATCAGGAAACATGTTGCTTTTATGGAAATGTTATGTCTTGGAAATAAAAGATTGCCTAAGCAGGAGGAGAGAGAGCGTCACAAATCAGGAGAATTACCCTTTTAAAGTATTGTGACAGAGTATGCCCTTCCTTCTTCCAATCTAGACATTTGCAACTGGATCATGGCTGCAATCTCTTATCTGGATGAAAAAGACATTATCCAGCTCTGAGCTCCCCAACCTGGAGAGAGAATGTTTCAGACATGTTTCGGACATCAAGGGTGGGGCACAGACACCACCTCAGGACAAAATTTACCATTCCATTGAGTGGCACTCCATTACCCATGGGTAAGTTTGTTGGTATTCTAGAAAGGTGCTTCGGTATCCCCTTAAGTGCAGAAGAACTTTCCTCTCATGCATTATCAGGAGAAATTTTGCCCTTCATAAATGCAATAGCCTCCAAGCTATTGTCTTGCAATAATATACATCTTGAAATCTGAGCTCTGAAGCACAGGATTTTGTTTTCATCTTTCAATGCATATTCATTACGGTTGTGCACTGTATTTGGCTGAAGCCGAAATCCTGAACTGTACCAGGTTAAATTGGGAGGAACCAGGTTGGCCTGCCCAGAACAACCTGGAGCTGTCAAGGAGTGGGAGAGAAGAAGAGGCAAAGTATCTCAATAAAGCCTACTGTGTTTGATTAGCAGCCATAAAATAAAAGGAGAGGCTCTCTTTTATTCAGGAACTGGTTAAGAAATAGAGCTGAGAGGAAATAGAGCCAAGAGGAGTGTGTGTGTGTGTGTGTGTGTGGTGTGTGTGTGTGTGTGTGTGTGTGTGTAATGCTTCAAATAATCTTTTATAGATATTTGTAACTGTTTTGAGAAAGAGAAGCCTATCTGTGTATCTAATCATGAAGTGATTGGTCCAGTTGACTTCCTTTTTCTCACCCAATGCATAGCTGCTCATCTGAATATTATATCTTAGAATATAGAGTCTTACACAAGAATAGTCTCCTCCTCTTAACTTCACAGAAAATTATCTTGATGACCAAAAAATAGCATTTTCTTCTTGTGATAAGAAGCTGGCAACTGATAAAGATACAGAATTGACCTGTGCCTCCATGGACAGTTGTGAGTCCAAAATGACTCCCAGGCTGCACACCTGGTCCTTCAGGGGCACAGTTACCCCATTCAGTACCAGGGAGTCCTCCACACCAGCCTGCCCCCTGTTCCCCCAAAACAGTACTTCTGTCTTGTCAGGATTGCTTTACTTCCTATCTGCTACCTGCAACTGCAGTACTAGGCCATTACTTTATTACCTAGTTGGGAGACAAAAAATGGATTGTTCTTGGGGAAGCATGAAGGTTGCTCTCCAGACGGTCTTCCATACAGCAGAACCTACAGATGAAAATGCGTACAATGAGAATCATGCCTTTATGTAAATTGCTCTGTGGCATTAGAACCAACTTCTCAGAGAGATTTTAAGCCATCTCTTCATTTTGGCTTTCAT